ACACCATAGGATTTCTCACATGTAGGTATTTCTTGTACTTCTTTTTAGAATTGTTTTAACAAACACATGACTTTAAGTGAAATATCTAAACTATCTTGACTTGTGTAATTAAAGAAAGGATGAATTGAGTGGTCTCTTTTTTACTTTAGAATGATTTGTCTTTTTAAGGTAAAATTTCTGACAAAGTTGAATAAACTGCCTCACAAAGTAGTCCACATCCTGTCCTTGTAACTGTAATGTTAAAAGGTGACCCTTTAAATTGAGTTCCATTTTGACAAAGATTTCCAAACCGATGGAAAGCAGATGTATGACATTCGGACATTGTAGTCCAGAGAGAGAGAGAGAGAGAGAGAGAGAGAGACTCAACATTTGTGTAATTAATTATTTTGAAATAAAATACATGAATTTATGCTTTCTTCTAAAAAATAGAAATGCTGGAACAATATGCACTATCAGACTGAAAAGCAACACTCAGATGGAGTAGGAATCAGCTGTTCCTTTGAAACAGAGGTACTGCTTTTTTCTACAGACTATTTTCTGCAGTTTTCTCTGTGTCTTTCAATGTCACTATTTTATTACCTACTTGGCTCCCTGAGCTACTTAAATTTTTTGCTCTGGGTCTTCAGATTTGGAGAGAAGACCTAAAAATTCTTTTGATCCCAAATTGTAGTCTTCATATGTACTTTTTAAAAATCAATTTTTATTAATATGCTTTTGCAATACATAATAAATACATTTATCATGGGAAGCGGGTAACTTAATTTTATATCTATTTTTAGTGCACAATTTGTGGGAATAACATTCAATGCTTAATTAGTCCAGAAAACATTTGCTTTAAAATAAACAGAAACTTTAAAAGTGTGCTTATTCATAACTTGGTCATATTTAGTTAATGTCACACATTTTATTCCACACGCTCTGTGTCAGATGAGCAAAAACTGACATCTGATAACTAAATCATCTTATTGAAGATTAAGTATATTGAGAAACACTTCTTCAAATATTGACCTTCAACTTGAAAATATAAATTTTTTAAGTGAAGGAAAATATCAGAGATGGCATACTGCTTTAGAATATCCACATAGGCACAAATATAGCTCCTCTATATTTCCTGTTTGAAATTTTAGTAGCAATGCTCTATTTTTCATCACTTTCATACTTATGAAAATGTTAGAAAACCATTTTTGAATTCTTTAACGAAACTAATGGGTAAATTCTTCATTATGAAATGGTCTTTTGAACAAACTCCATTAGAATACTTTTAACTAATACCCCTAACAACCCCAAGAAGGTTAAGTGGGCAAAAGTAAAATGCAGTAAAAGCTAGTTGACCCTGTAAAAAAAAAAATCAGTGAGCTTATGTAAGAGAAAATTAGTTAGTTTCGTTCAAGTTAAACCAATTTTGGCATATTTATCAAAGATTACTTCATATTCACTATTTCATTTCATTAAACTTCATTTCCATATTTATTTAGGGAATTATTCAAGAGCTGTAGTTACTGAGGAAGTAGTCAGGTATTTAGCAATCACCAGGAAGCTTTGCTGTTTCATCTCCATATTGTAACACTGTGGGATTTTCATACTCAACTAATTGCAAGGCATGTTTGATGATTCAACCACCAGCTCCACTGATACAGCTGCACACTTTGATGTTACAATTGCTGAGTTTTAAACTGCAGTACAGGTTGTGCAGCTTGATTTTCTGATTAGATTGCCTGCTTTAATAATTGAGTGCTAAATGAGTACAATTTATTAATCATGCCTGAGTCATTATTGACAAAAGGCGAATCTTTAACTGTAGAGTTTTCTCATTTACTGATTCCATTGCTTCACACTTTAAGTTCAATTAATATAAATTTTAGTGGGGATTCTAGGAGCCAAATTCATGATCTGTCTTATAGCTAGTATTTTATAGATTACATTTATTATTATAAAATAATTAACAGGAATTTGGTTAAATATTTGTTTATGAAAATTAAAACCTATTTTATATGATTAGAATACATTATATAATATTTACATGTAAATGCACCCGTTGAAGTGGAATATAGAATTCATCCACAAATAGTGTACATATATGTGAATATCTATCAGTCATGTATTATGCAATTTTACACCAAAAGCTTATTTCAAAAAATAATTCTGACTAATAAAATATCACACTAAATTTTCTTACTTAAATTATTTTCTAAAAAGAATTGCTTCAGTTGAAATGATTCAGTTATGCAAGATGAAGCGTTCCAGGTATCTGCTGTACAATGTAGTTGTTATAGTTAACAATACCATGCTGAATACTTGAACATTTGATGGAGGATTTATATTTGGGGTTTTTTTCTACAATTAAAAATGGGCCTTCAAGGTATATATGATGAGCAAACTCCACCAGATATAACTATATCATAGTGGAAATAGTAGCACTGACCCTGAGATAGCAATCTTAGGCATTTATTACTTACCACAGATACTGAGAATGGGAAGGATTAACAAGAAGACATAAAGTCATGAGAAAGACAAATGGGACTATGAACACAATACTTCAAAAGCAAGAATGCAATGCAGAATGAAATTGTTCTGGGCAGTCTATTTAGGGTGAGATGGCATAAGCAGAAAGAATGATTGGCAATTACAAGGCATAGGGGAGAAAGGAACCTCCAAACAAAGAAAACAGCGTGAAGAATAGCAAAGGTTCCAAGATTCATGGCAAATACAAGGACATAATACTGCAGGCAAATTATCACTTCCTTATTCTTGAATTATACATTCACTGTTGGAGAACATCTTAAGTTCTACTGCTCAGTCTTCATAGATGTTTGCCTACTAAAAATGGTTTTACATTATGACATAAATTAATATAAGATTTAACTATTGAGTGGTAAATATATGATATCATAAAATAATTGCGTGCTTTACGATTTTTCAAAAAACGTAAGTTTCATGTATCTTCTGACTCTAATACAAATTAGGTGAAGATGATTATTAACTTTATTTAAAATGTGGACACAGAGGTAAATGATTTGTTCAATAATACAAACCTGATAGAGATTTTATTCTCAAATGTGATTCTTTTAGTCTTGGGAATGATATAGTAGAAACTGCATAAATTCTAACCTGGATGCTTCCAGATGGATTTCTAGCTGTATGATTTTGTTGATGTGTAACTTTTAGGCAGCTTATTTATTTCTTATTTATTTCTCTAAGTTTATCTGCTTTTTTTTTTCTGGTGGTCTCAAAATTTCACTTGAATATTAAGCATGCTCTTACTATTTTGAGATACTATTTTGAAGTTGCTGAAATAATTGTTACCTAACATATGAACAATAATATTCTTTAAACATAGTAAATAATGAAATAATAATGAAGTCATCCTTCATATTAATAAAAAATTGAGAGAATACAAGCAGGGAATCTTACCAAATTTTCGTAACTGGGTTAATTTTAGAACATAGACTTAAATTCTCCTTAATAGAAATAACTACTTAAACTCTTTTTGGGGGGTACTTACTTGACAACAAACACACTAGCAAGATTTTATATGCAAATTAACTGCTAATATATTCAATTCAATCAGTAAAGTATGCAGATACTTAACAGTAGAAATATTCATCTTAGGTAGTAAGCAGTACACAGCTGATTCTGACAAAAATAAGACTAGGACCTAGGGGAAATTTAAAAAAATGTTTAAACCTAAAAAGCATTGCTCAAATTTTCATCAACCACTTTATTTGATAAATATTTTAATCTTCAGCAAATTTGCAGTAATTAATAATTTGCTTAGTCTTACTATTTTCAATTCAGTGATACCTCTCATCACACAAAGAAATATATTGTAAAGTAAAAAGCAACAATTGTTGGACCAGAATGACTCCATTTTGTCCAAAAAGGAGCAGTCTCCTTTGTTCTCTCAAATTTGTGCTTGAACTGGGACAAAGGATGTAATCCACAACTCGGGATTCCTAAATTTATTACTCAGCCATCTGTTTGCCCTAGAAACAAATGTCCCGGGGCACTATCTATAGGACAATCTGTTAACGTGCTGACTGTCCACACAGGGTGGTCGTGGCCATTAGTCAGGATGTCTGCTGACCATCAGTATGTGACAGTAGACCACTAACCTTTGTCCTCATTCTTCTTGTAAAAACCTATACGTAATCCCCTCCAATCCCCAACGAGCCTAGCCAATCAAAATTCTACACTTCATACTTGCTAAATATTAACCAATCATATGGCTGCTAATGACCAAAGCTTGTTGTATTCTCAATAAAAACCCTGCTAATTTGGAACTTGGGGCTCTCAATCTCGATCCGCTGTGTCGGTGACAATTGAGAGTCCCTGCTTGAGCTTCAATAAACGACCCTCATGTGCTTACATCGGAAACGGCCTCCTGGTGGTCTTTGGGACTTCGCAATCTGGGCACAACACAATAAAGAAAAAAGGAAAATAAAAGTGGGAAGAAAACATTAAGGGCTGAAATTCAGGATTCTGTTTTACATGTACAGTATTTTGGATACAGCCCTAAAGGCATACAACTATGAATATCTTTAAATAACTAAAATGACTGGCTTTTCATGTCTCCTCTTCCCTGGGTAAAGCAGTGCAAATTTTAGTTGCTAATATCTGGTGTGTAGAACAAAACAGTTTAAATAGTGTCAGTTTTCACAAGATTTGAACCTAGATCATTTAACCCAAGCTTGTAAAAACAATAAACCTAGAAAGTGAATGTTACATACAGTTTTAAAATTTTAACTAGCAATGTGCTATCACAGAAGAAAAAATTACTTAACCTGGTATATTTAGATAAGATTGATAAGATATATTTGGATAAATCTGTTAATTGTTCCTTTTGGCTTTAATATTTTTTTGATTGAACATTTCACTTTTCTTTTGATATATGTGTTTTAACTTTAAATAAACCTATTATTTTATGTCACTTAACATTTAAATATAAATTTACTTGAGATGTCTCCACTTCTTTCCTTCTGATTTTATTGATCATAGCAGGTACGACTCACCATCTTTTGGAAAACGTGATTTTATAGACAAATACTGTGGATTGTCTACCATGCCCCCATGACAAGCTCCTAGTGTGAAGAAAACAGGAAGGTAAAAACAATATATTATACTTCCTGTGCAAACAGGTCCTGTGGCTATTGTGAAAGATGAGCTATTTAAGTTGTGCCAATCAGATTCAGTCTCATGAAAATTTGGATCCTTTGTTGAATAACATGCTGTGAGGTCCAAGAAGTCAAAAGTCCACTGTGTTGTTATGGATTATTGGAGAAACAATGTTGCTTGGAAGCAGGGGTCTATGGTAGCAGGTTTTTTTTATTTTTGTAGAGGTAAAAACATTAGAAGCAGTGTTTATGGTGGCAAACAATATTCTGCCTGATGTTGGTAAACGTGGCAACTCCATCTACGGCCAAGTCTAATGCATGCTTTGGGGATTTGTTCTTTGAGCCTAATACTATTTCCTATTGATTGAGCTCTCCAGATCACTCTGGGAATAAGCTACACCCAGAAATTCCTTTCTACTTAAATGAACCAGAGTAAACTGATTGTTTTTAATTGTGAATTTTGATACAGTCAGTAATTAATAGATGAAAGTAGCATGGTACACTAATCTTGCTAATCAAAGTGTAGTCCTGGATGATTAGTGCAGATATTTGCTGGGGATCTGTTAAAAATGCTAAATCTTAGACCCTACACCAGATCTTTTAATTCAGCCTGTATTTTGCCAGATCCCTTGATGATCTGTATGTATATAATTGATTCTGAAAACCTAAGTATAAATAAATAAGTAAATTTAAAAAGTAAAGGCAAAATTAGTGTATTGGCTTGGTAGATGTATGTAGAAAGTGAGGAGCAAGAGCTTAGATATTGATGGAGGGGTAGGGGAAAGGAAAGAATGGAAATAATTTGAGAAAATGGAAACAAAGTTTCTGTAAATAGGGAGGGATGGAGGGGTTGACAGGAGGGCAGGGGAAGGGGAAAAAATAAGAGCCAAGAGAGATTATATAAAGGTGCAAATTTCCAATGATGAATGTCATTATATTGTATACCTAAAAAGTACCAATAAAATTAATTTTAAAAAAAGAAAATGTCTAATTCACAGCAGACAGTGACAAAATAGATGGCCAAATTGTTTCCTATTGTACACTGGAAAGCAAACAGTTTGCTTAGGTCTTAGGAAAACGGAAGGAAAGATTATAATATAGGTATGTTAAGACTGTTTTCTGTAGCTTTTAGAAATATCTTACATATAAGGGATAGTCCAATAAAACCATTGGTGTTCTTTCTTCAGCAGAGATGAAAGAATATATAGGTAAATAATTCCTGAGACCTTCAACCTAGCTTGCCCTGAAGGTACATGAGTTAGACTATTGTTGGACTTGAAAGCCAATTGCAGGTCAACTGCAAATTACTGAAGTTGTAATTAATAGTGGCTGCAGAACTGCATCTATATTAAAGTTAAGGCTGTAATTGGGTTTTACTTTGTATTGGGGTTTTCTTCTTGCTCTCTATTAAATGTTTGCTGGAAGTCAAATGTATCTATGGTTCAGATTAAATCACATGTATTCTTTCCCTTCAAGGTATTGTGAGATCTACCATTGATTTGTAGAAAGAGCAGGCAAGCAGAGCACCAAGATAGCACTTGAAACACTAGAGAATTCAAGCAAGTCTTTGGTCATGATGATTTTTACACAGAATTGACTTGAAGCTAATAGGAATTCTGTTGTGCACTTGAGATAATGATGTAAATTTTATTGGCAAAGGAATTCAGGATGGACTTGGGACAACTCACAAGTTCTTAGTCTTCTCAAATCTGTAGCTATCAAAAGCATATTCTGCTCAAATTCTATCCTATATTTACTCACAAAGGAGAGTGGTTGGTCAAGAAATGCCTTGCAGGAAAGCAAAGCAGGAAACAAAAAGAGAACAAAAGAAAAGTATTTGTCAGTCTGCAAGTTTATAATCCTAGCATTCTGCAAGGCTGAAGCAGGAGGTTCTTAAGGTTGAGCCCAGCCTGTCAATGACTTACTGAGACCTTCTTGAAAAAAAAAAGGCAAGATAGTCTTAGACACTTTAATCAGTGACTGCTAGAAAAACTAAGTATCTCTTTCTGTGACCATATTTCTGTTCAGAAAACTCATATCAGAATCACAGAGCTCTGATTTTCCAGTTCTTTGTTTTCAAATAAAAGTTTTGTTATGATTATCGTTTTGCTTTTCAAATTTCATATGTTGGTTTCATAAGAAAACAGCATAAATTTCTGTTTATTAACTGCTGATCTCTGGATGAGTTCTAGGGAGACTTAACTGAAGAACTGTATCTCTCAGTCATGAAGAAGTCTTACCTGCCTTATACATCATGGGCACTGACAATTTTGATGGGCTCTAAATAAGCAAATTGACTACAGCCATACCACCCTGAACATACTTGATTTTCTCTGAATTTGGAAGAAGCAAATCAATGGACTTTTGTACCAGGGAGATGTTTCAGTATTCTCATCATTCTAAACTTAAACTCAGTTTTAAAAAGAGCAAATTATGACTATGACTTACATTTCCAAAAAGTAAAATTTCCCAATATTATTTCGTTGATGTTTGTTTTCCTTGATATTTCCCCAACTGAATTAGTTTAAAATTCTATAGTTAAGAATAGAAGCACTCCTGCACCAGCCTTTAATGGCCTGAAAAGATCAAATCTTATTTCAAACCCTCTTAATTAAAAATCCATGTAATCAAAATTCCCATTGCACTATGGTTGTTACATATTCACACCTGCATGGGCACACACACACACACACGCCTTTCTAAGTACTCCAATAAAAAGTTGGAAAATTACACGGTTCAAAAATCTCCTGTCTATGCTTATGTTTTCCACAGTTTTCTGTTTCCTCCAACCCCAATATAAGGATCTATAAGAGAGTTGGATTTGAAAATGACATTTGATTCCTCATGCTGTCTCTCTTAAACAGGCCCCCTTCAATACAAATGGTGAGTTTTTTCCCTTTCTTTCTTTAATATATAAAAATTATCACTTCGTGTGCTATTCAAAATCGTTCTACTCAGTGTATGCCTGCAGGTACGAAGTACCCTCTTTGAGCATGAACTTGCCTTTGAGACTGGGAAATCAAGTTTTAAAACTGCACAATGTTCTTTTGGTCCCTAGAGCTTAGCTCTTGCAATAAAAAAGCTTTGAATTCTGTATATTTGAATTTGTAAAGAACTTCAGTCTTTTAAAATCCCAAGGCATACTGTATTTGTTGTAGACTTTTTCATTAAAATAATGGGTCCTTTTGAGTTCATTAGATGGAGAGCTCAAGAGTTACTAGTCTGAATTATCCTGTAAGAGAAATTTAAAAATCCATATATCTTATGAAATTCCACATTAAATTTAAATTATTTATGTGTTACTGACACTTGGCTATTTCACCTAAAGACTAAAGGGACACAGAAGTGAATATTTGTTTCCCTCCCTTATTTCAATTTCAGCATTTCCCATTGTCATTGGAGTAGGACCACTAGAAAATAAGCAACTATGGGTGCATTGAAAATTTTATTTGATGTTTGCAAAAAAGTCTGTATGACAGTCTGTGACATAGAAATAATACATGCTGTAACTATTTGTTTTGGTTACAAATGAAGAGGTAATTACTGCTATCAGATTAATTCTAAAGAAGAAATACAATAATTTCTCTTTTGTTCCAACACAATCATTGGCTTCTAAACATATGAAATTTAAATGTAGCATTTAAAGTATACACACAGCATAATGTAAGGAGTTTGGACTTTGAGGAAATGGCTTTTACTTTGGTCTGGGTTTCACTAAATGGGAAATCTAAGCATCTTACTTGCCACTTGTTATAATTTATATTTATAATATGTAGGGAACAAATGTGATCAAATTAATATAAGAATTGTACACACATGACACAATGCCTGTTAAAGAGTTTGTACTTATAAAATCCACAATGAAGAAAACCATTTTACTCACTTCAATGGGATATTCATGGATATTTTAGATACAGTTATATGTTGTATAGTGATCTGTTCTATACAGAGAAATATATCGTGAGGCAATTTTGTTGTGCAAACATAATGACATGTACTTACACAAATATACATGGTATAGGTCAATCAGTCAATGTATCCTCTGGATGTCATTGAAACATAGTAATATGAGATGTATGAGGCTCCTCCCACTGTAAATGACATACTATTTTATGGTAAATGTTTTTATAAGTAGAAAGAGTATACTAAATAAAAATATTTAATATGTAATATATATATATATTTAAACTGGTTTTTTAGTTGTTTATTATTATCATCAAGCATTATGTATTGTGCAACTAACAGCACAGGTTTGTTTATACCAGCATGACCAAAAACTTAAGTAATTTATCCATGTTACAAATACAGTGCATGCTAACTGCAAGGTTTTATCTTAATTCTACCTATTTCTAAAGTTTATTTGTAAATACTAACCATTAATCACAGCAATAATAAAGTTTATGCTTTGTGTAGTTCAAATGATTCAACAAAAAAGGTATGTAAAAGTTCTAATTAAATGGTATTGTCACATAATAGGACACAGAGAAATTGTTCTTATTTAAAATTATGTGACACATCTTTCCATTAAATTATTTTTATAGTCTTCTTCTTAAGAGAAAATAACTGTTAAGGTACATTAAAGTGAATAATTAAAATCTGAGGTAAATTATATAATTTTATTTATTAACTAATTGTTCTATAAGTTTCAAGGTAGATATTTGTAAATTATATTAACGTTTTGTCAAATAATAATATCCTCTTTTTCTTTGAAATACATTTTTATTCTTCCTTAAAAATGAAAATGACCATAAATAAAATGCATTAAAAATTATCAGAGAAAACAACAGCAAACTATCAACACACACCTGTTCACATTGTCAAATCCTGTAACACTGATACCAGATTGCTGGGGATGATACAGAGCACTAGTAATTTCCATTTATTGCTTGAGAAACTGCAAACAATACAGTAACTTTAGAAACTACTTGGACAGTTTCCTACAAAACTGAATAAATTCTTATCATATGGTTTAGCCATCATATTACTTTGCATTTATATGAAGAAGCTGAAAACTTACATCCTCATGGAAGCTTGCACACAGGTGCTTATAGTAGCTTTATCCAAAACCTAGAAGGAGCTAAGATGTCCTTGAATGTAAGTGGATCAGTAAAGCACAATTTCCTTCCATACAATGGAATATTCTTTAGTGATGAAAAGAGATGAGCTATCAAATTATGAAAACAAATGGAGGAAACTTTAATGCATGGAACTAAGTGACAGTAGACAATCAGAAAAAAGTGTTCTGTGTGGTCTTAATTACTCAATATTCTGGAAAAGTTAAAAGGAGATGGTAAAAAGATCACTAGTGTGAAGAGTTTGTGGAGAAAAGATAAATAATTAGGTTGAGGGTATAGGATTCCTAAGGCTACACAAAGAATCTGTATGATACTAAATGGTGAATACATTCCATTGCATATTTTTCCATGCCCACAGACTGCTCAACACCAAGAGTAAGCTCTACTGTAAGCTATGGGCTTTGTATGCTTGTGTCAAGGTATATTTATCCATTATAATAAATGTACTACACTATTGGAGATGCTGATAGTGGGTTAGGATACCAATTTGTGATACCAATGAGCATATGGAAAACATATCATATTAAATTTTGCTGTGAACAAAAACAGATTTAAAAAGCTGAAGTCTAAAATTTTAAAAAGCCCCAAGGAGTAAAAATATTTGAAAATAATTTTCGTTTGTGAAAGTGAGCCTACTTGCATTTGTGATTTTTTGTTAATATATTACTTTGAAATATTATTTCAAAACTCTGAAGGACTTATTAAACTGAGAACATACAACTCTAGTTTCTATTTTCAGATTTAGAAACCCCTCAACTGCTGTCTTCATGCTGTTAATTGAATATTTGTGTGAAGATGATAGCATTCTCAACAGCAAGAGCAAATACATTGTTCTCAACTCTTTGATCGTGGTCTCTTCTTTTTATGGATATATCCAAAGAGTGGGTTAAATGTGTTTCTCAATGTCCATTAATCTTGGCTATTAACTTCCTATCTAGTAAATTCACTATGATGTGTCACTGCTGTCAGACTGTTTTAATATGTTTTTTCCAATAACTTCAAAGAGTATAGCAGCCTCTTTACCATTATGAATAAGAGAATATTCTTAATATATAGTTATAAAGAAAAATGAACACATAAAACTAAGTCTGCAGAATGAAATTGTCTAGATGTACATTCATCATTTCAAAAAGCTGATATCATGCTAAGAACAACTACAGTATAACAAGCAGAGCTATATATGTAAGAAATGAGAAGATTTAAATAAAAAATAATTGCATAGAAAATTTTTGGAAACATTGAAGACTTGGAAGCACCAAAAATATTTCTTCCACCTGGACAACAATTTTGCAGTCACAATCTGTTTAATGTAAGCATTTCAGAACACTACAGTGAACTGAGGGCTTTAAACTCTCAGGAAAATGACTGAACATGAATTGAAGCTAATGTTGACCAATTTCAGTTCTTACTGAGAAGTAGCTATGCATTCCTTGCTTCTTCTTTACCTCAGACCCATGACAGATGACTCTGCATGTGATCCTGGAAATGTTTTCACATAGTTTGCAAGAACCATGGTGTGCCATAAGAATCCTGTTTTCCAAATACTGAGACTCTGTGCTCTGATTCTGAATGGTTTTTTTATTCTAAGGGATAGTTATAATCATTTACAAGTTCATCCCCTCCTATCTGAAATGAATTCAAGAGGATTTAAAGGGCCAGTGATTTTTCTTATTATTTTCCCTTCCAAGAGGCACACTTTAATACTACTAATCATGCAAACTGAAGAATCGATAAAGTCACCACACATGCCCACATGACGCACACACACACACACACAAACACACACACACACACACACATTGAGGGAAGAGAGTGGGATGTGCACTTATTGCAGCATTCTGGTTTTCAACCAAGTTATCACAAGATAGAAAGGGAAAGAAAAATATGCCACCTTCAAAAAAATATGATTCCAATAAAAACTTTCCACAGAAGAGACCTGATGGCAGATCTAATAGACAGCAACTTTACAAGTCTTTAAGATATTCAAAGAAAGAAAGATTCAGAAAATGTCAAGAGAATAATGTACAAATGAAACAATATACTTCTTAAAACCACAAGTTACATTCTCCAGGACATTCTTTTAGACTATAATTTAAATCTCAATACATTTTAAAAGATAAATATTATAGAAGTCCTATATATTCTCCAATATATATTCTCCAAGATATTCTCCAGTAGCAATGGGATGAAGTTAAAAATCAATACCCACAAAACTAGAAAATTCTCAAACTGTAGAATACTAAATAATATACTTTAAGCAATCAAAGTGAAAAAGAGGAAATCACAAGAAAAATTAGAAAATACTACAGACATAAGAAAGAAAACATACATATCAAAATTTGAGATACAGGGAATCAGTGTCTGGGGAAAGATCTGTAAAGCTTATGTTAAAAAGAAAAATATGTATAAATAACAAGCTCACTTTATAATTAAAGGAATTATTAAAAAAAAGCCAAATATATTATGTTATGACTTGTATCTAGATGTTCCCCCAAAGCCTCATGTGATCATAGGTGGGGCTTTTTTGAGGTGAATGAATCTATGGTGTGTGGTGCTGCAATCAGAAATGTGATTCTGGGATTGACTCATGCTGTGATGCTAGGATTAAGGGTGTGTAGCCTTAATGACACAGAAAAGGGGCTGCCATTGTTGTTGCCAGTTGCTTGTAGCTTACTGTTCGCTGCCTTCCTGTTTTTTTGCCTTCTGCTTCCCATGAACTGTTTATCTTCTGCCATGCCCTTCTGCCATGCTACAGTACCTTGGAGTCAGCTAACTATGGACTGAAACCTTCACAAACTATGATTCAAA